ATTAGTTTTGCCTCAAATATACCCACAAAGCTACTTGTTTTAAGAGAATAAAACAAAGTTTTGTAGTTCTCCAGAACTTCTGTGTGTTTGTGCTGCAGACAAGCTGGATGCAGACTACATTAAACGTTACCTGGGTGACCTGACGCCCCTGCAGGAGAGCTGCCTGATCAGACTTCGCAGATGGCTTCAGGAGACACACAAGGGCAAAGTAATCCCAACAATGGAAGAACTCTTCTTTTTTTTTTAGTCAACTTGTGAAACATGAAACCCATTTTGATGCATTTTTCTTCTCTTAAGATCCCCAAAGACGAACACATCCTGCGTTTCTTGCGAGCCAGAGACTTCAACATGGATAAGGCGCGGGAGTTTATGTGCCAGTCTCTCACCTGGAGGAAGCAGCACCAGGTGGACTACCTGCTGGAGACCTGGAATCCCCCACAAGTTCTTCAGGACTTCTACACCGGAGGCTGGCACCACCACGACAGAGGTACTTTAGTTAAATCCTGCAAATCCAAAATCAGCAGCTGGACTCTCACGTGTGCATAAATATGAAATCTGAAAACTCGTGTAGAAGAAGTTACACACACACACACACACACACACACACACTTATTTATTTATTTTAAAGATATGAATGCAGTTAACTTGTTTCACAGCAAATAACTTAACAATTGCATAGATAATGATGTGTCAACAGGATTTGAAGCTCAGCATCCTTGTGGTTCTGACTGTGGTCCAAAGCTGTTTAACTGGTTGGCCAAGCTTTGGAGAACTGAAATATAATGGGACTTTTTTTCTTTGTTCCGCGAGTGGTTTTTATTTACTTTGCCTCACGCGAGTGGGTCAGTATTCCATTGCTTTGTCTTTAAATGTTCATGTAACATGATCTGGTGAAACTAGTGTTGAAAAGAGCTACCTGGATTGTTCAGTCAGGGTTTGACGCATGGCAGAAAATTAAATCATATTTCCAAGAATATCTGTAGGAAGTTGTTAGTGGGATGAATACCAACTCAGCAAAAGTTCTTCAGCGACATCATTTATTTATAATATACTGAATATGTTTTTTGTTTTTGCTTCATTTGATTTAAATTCCTAATTTTCTTGGTCCTTGCTGTGGAAGTGGCCTATGCCAATGCTTTTTTTAAATAAAGGTTTATCTTAAGACTTTGCATCCCTCGTTGGCAGCATGCCTCAATGTTTAGAGTGAAAATTTTAAAGGCACAACTGCGATGGTTTTATGTTCTATTTCTTTCAATAAACTTGTTTTATGTGCCTGATGAAATTAATCTCAAGATTTGTGCTCATGTGATTGGAAAAGTYTTTACTGTTAGGAGATTTATACTCGAGAGGTTCCAGCACCTGCATGTTTTCAGGGAAACTGCTGCAATGGAGGCAGAGTTATATCAAGAATTTTAATCCACTCAGTGCTTCTAGGGAAAGGTTTTTGTCCCGTGTCACATTAGTAAACCACTGAGGCTCTTGCTTTTCTTAGTAATTGGTTGAACCATGCTACACAAGTTTTGCTTGTCYTAATTATTATTTATCTTTATAGATTTATTTCATATGTTCCAAAAAAATAAAACGATGAACCTTAATGGATGAAAGRAGTGCAATGCAAGTTGTAGCCATTTTCTCATTATGTTCTTATTTAATTTGTMTTTTATTTATGATTTGTAGCATTCAACAGGCATAGGAAGGTGTCAGTTTTTGTTCTGTGGGTTAGAAACTGAACAGACCTGTAACTACCGACCTAAAAGCTTTGCTTTATTCAGCGTTTGTCAGAAGCATCCTCTACCTTTTTACATGGCCGAGAGTTTCTAAACAAATCACACGATCCGTCTAATGTCCAGTCTCGGTCTGCGTAGCGACATCCCTGATGGGTCGAGCCCCAGAGTTGCCGGAGGTGGTGGGTGGGAAATCCTAACGATGTTTAGTCACTGAAACCAGYCTCACTGATGTCACCCTCCTGCAAGTGGCCCACACTGAAAGCTGAAAGCCATTTTGTTGCTTTTAATTGTCTTAATTTGACAGTGTTTTAAATATTAACAAAGAAGAAAAAATTAATCCTAGTATTTTTATAGCAATTTCTTCCTCCTCTTTTCTTGATCACTGGAGATGGAGTCTGCTCTCTCCTTGGCATTTGTGCTCAGGATTTCCTGGTTTGTTTTAACATCATCTCTAAGCCTTCCTCTTCTAATATCTTAATCTTAAAAGAGCCCCCAATCTAAATGTTCCCATTTTCCCAGCCAACTGGTTTAAAAATAGCTGAGGCTGACCTCTGGGCGGCTGTTGTATTCTGTTATACAACCACTTTCATGAGCTTCAGATATGGCTCAGCCTCTCAGGAAGCTGGAAGTATGAAACCTGTAGGGAAAAGATTTGCCACATCCTTCTCCTGACTGACTTTAGTCTCAATTGCATGAGGAAGTGTTTAATTTACCCTAAGATGCAGCATATTATTGCAGTATGTGTTTATGGGTGTTTGAAAGATGTTGGGTTTTGTTTTGCTCAACAAAACCAGGACAGCCCTGTTTACCAGCTTTTTGCCCTGAGCTGTAGAGGTAAACTTCATTGGAAATCTTTAAAAAAGTTCTTACACAAACATGATGTGTTTGTTCCTGCTGCAACTTGCATTTTGTTCTGTTTCTGAGAATCACAGTTACTTCTGATTTGCCTTTAGGCGACGGTGTTCCTCATTTTACATTCCATTTATTAATTTTTATGTTTGTGGTGAACGCTCCTAATGATAGWTGTGGAGCCTTTCTTTCTTCCACACGTGAGAATCACATCTGGACTTTTAACTCCAGTGTGCTCTTCCCCCAGCAGAAGGTTGTCCATGCAAATAATGTTCTCACAACTTCAAATACTAGGAAGCATTACACTATGCAAAAATATGGTGCAGAATGTGCAGTGATTTGACAGCACACACAGATCATAATTATGACTTTTTTTTTTCTTTTCTCAACTCAACAGGCCAGATTAATATATTTCTGCACAAAACATATATTTTTAAACTTGTTTGAACTGTGCTGTAAGGTGTTTTTTCCTGTGAACAATAGCTCATGCCCGGGCTGCTTGCCAGCGCTCGTATTTCCTTGCGATGTAGGACTCGGCACACATTTGCATGCTCCACGGAGCCCTTTGTGGACTGAAAGTGAATTGTCTCCTTGTTTGTGGAACTCAGATTTCCTGAATCTCCCTTCCTGAACAAAAGGGCTCTTACTTTCCAAACTCGCGTTTTTGACTGTGTAGCTTTCTGTACAGAGAGGAAAGCATTTATTTTCAATGTATGCAGGAAGAAATCAAGTAATCATCTATTGTTGCCCACCCCCCCACNCCCCCTCCCTCCACCTCTGGATAGCACAATAATGTAAATAAAAAAATCTGACAGACTTCCAGGAGCTGTTGGTCATGGTTCAACCAAGAAATCCCATCACTATGGTGAGCAAAACAAAATGTTCTCACACTGTCTCCTAGATTTATTTGTCTTTGGTCAAGAAATGGACAGTTTTTAGGTTTTTGCTTCCATTGTGTTTCTGTTAGTTTGGTCTAAGAGAGAGTTATTTAAAACAGCAAGTTTATACGAGTCTTGTTTTCTAATCCAGAAGTAATTGACACAGATGGATGAATACCAGCTTTGGTCCCACATTCCCGCATTGCATTGTTAAAAAACTTTCCCTTTTCAAAAGTGACAGTATGTTAAATTGATCTTTTTAGAAATACATTCTTTCTCAAAATAAACGTTCCATAAAAGCTAGTTTTGTGTCCCTCATGCTGGTTATGGAGTAAGTCTGTTTTGGTTTYTGAGGACCCACGCCATTTGAGTTTTGTTTTTCCTGATGTATTGTTTTTACCTTGTGAGACTGATGTTGACTGGGCGTTGGGCTTTGTCCTGCCTTCACAACAGAACTCAGAGTTCCAGAGCATCGGGCCTGAAAAACACAGCTCAGCATTCACCCATTCATAGGGCCGTGGGCCGCTGAGTGGACCTGCAGTCCTGGCAGCAGCACACCAGGACCACCTACTCTTTAACAAAACAAAATCTTTTTGTTTTTGAATTTATGTTCCAATACTCCAAGAATGGCAACTTTATCCCAACAAATGTTTGTGTTAGTTTAGGTCAAAAAATAAAGCTACACAATGTGGGCTTCTGTTTTGTTTAATGTTTGACTTCAGTGGCACATTCTCAACTTTTAATGGATTTTATTGTCCTAACTTCTACACCAGTGTCTTCATCCATATCTTGTGAAAACGTGAAGATATCTCCCATTTAGCTGTAAAAATAGTTTATATAACTTCATTAGAAGTATACATGACTAGTTTGAGATTGTTTCCAGCTCAAGTTAGGAGCATCTTTAAGATAAAAGTTGACTTTCCTGTTCACCAGACGCTCCAACAACCAATCAGCTCCGAGATGGGTGGTGATAAAACATATGCATTGTTGCAGGATGTTGTTTATACAGGCCCAGTTGCACAACATCCAGCTGGAGCCTGCCATCATTGTTTCCCTGCTTTGCCTTTACGAGCCCACATATTTCAGAGACAGCGTTGTTGCTTTATGTATCAAGCATTTTGTTGTAGAGTAATTAAAGCTGGGTTTAGCTCTGACGAGACTCATGGGAGGAATATGAAGCAGGAGGAGTTTTTGTTTGGCTTTTTAGCTATTTAAGCTTTTCTGCTCCCTTCAGCTGCGTGTTTACATTCCTACAGACTGAAGTGTTTTCAAGTGGACGTTATATAAGGGAGGCAATACAAGACCATCAGTGCTGACTTTCTCTTGAATAATAATATTTGATAAATCCTTCAACGGGTTGTTAATAAAACTAGTTACATGTATAAATGCGTAATAAAAGGACACATTTATGCAACAGTTTTTATCAGCCTGTTCCATGTGTAAAGAGAGACTGAAGCTACAGAAACCTCTATTCTTTTGTTCTCCTTTTACTGAAATGTTTTTCTAACATGAAAACAAAAACGTGTTCCCTTTTCCTAACATACAGGCGTATGAGCGGCGCTTCCCCACCTGCCACCTCATCCCCATGTTTGTGGCGAGCGACATCGTAGATGAGGAGAAAAGCGAAGACGGTTCCACCCACAYGGTCGAGCGCCGCTGTGCCCTGGATGTTGACGCTCCACGCCTTCTTAAAAGGGTATGATTTACTGCAGCACGTAGGTTGTCTTAATTGTACCTTTTTGCCATTGCTTTCAGATAACGTGCTGTTTTCTGTGGTTTACAGATTGCAGGCGTCGACTACATTTACTTCATCCAGAAAAACACTCTGAACAGAAAGGAGAGGACGCTGCAGATCGAATCCCACAATGAGACCTTTTCCAACAGGATCGTCGTCCACGAGACCTGCTGCTATTCGGTCAGTGGTTTAGATTCTTGTCATCCAAAAGAAACGCGTGTGGATAATCAAATCAAACATTTAAAAAGCACCTTTCATACAGTGTAGTGTAAAACAAACGAAACATAAGAAAAGCATCTTTTGAAAAGCTGATCTGAAGCCAGAATCCCTTCTTCCCCCTCCTTTTAATCTGCGTGCTTAACTCTGACTCCAGATCTGCCTCCTCATGAATGAACGAATGAATGTATGATGAGTTAATGAGGTCAAGCTCGTCGTATTAGCCTCCAACCAACTGCAGTGCTAATTTTAGGTCCGAGGCCGCACAGATTCTTACCGAGAGCCTTGTCAAGCTGTGGGYATGGTAACCAGGACGGACAGCTCAGTTAGGCAGCTAATGGACCTGACTAAAGCTTTGGTAGTCATGGACAATCAAGCTAGGACCGTTTTGCCACCAGGATGCACTTAACTCCTGGCTTCTTAAGACAAACAATGAGCAAAAGGGCATTTATTGTTATTTTTATGATGTGCATGCAATTTTGAAAAACAAATATAAAATTTGCAAATTTCAGGGGACAGTTTGAAGTGTGACAGTTTTGCTAAAAACTGGCAGATTTTTGTTGGTGTTTTTTATTTAAAAAATTTTAATTGGTATTCTCATGTAAATTGGAAGCACTGGGGCTCCAGAAACCAGCTGTAAACTGGTTCAAGGACTAGCTGGATAAAAGACAGCAGTATGTAGAAATCGGAGGCGTAACATCCACTACAACAAAAGTGATATGCGGAATCCCACAGGATTCCATTCTCGGACCGTTACTATTCCTCATACAGTATATGTTAATGACATGTCTGTATGCGGCGTTTGTTCTTGACTGATTCACACCATTTGGTGTATAATWTACATGTTTTTACGTCAAAGCTGCGTGACGAGATACAAACAGCTTTTGAAGCAGATAATAGTGGAGCGTCATTGCGAATGCGTTGGCACCTTTCTAGTTTGCAGAGATGGTGTTTGTCATGAGTAGTGGGGGTATTTTAGGAACTGGGTTTAGTTTGAGAGTGAATCATGGTTTRATCACTGCCTCTCACCACTTTTCCATCACCCTCCAAAAATGTGTGTTACTCTATTTATTGCATACTCCAAACAGCTTATGTGTTTTTAAAAAAATCTCCCCTACAGACTAACACACAAACTCCCACTCAGTGAGAAATCTGCTCCTCATGCGTCATCATTTTGAGTACCTCGCTGTGTGGTTGTCATGGTAATGGGGTCCCATGCCTCCCTTCATGTGTACACAGAATAAGTGACAGTATGTTTTGGTGTGTGTGTTTACACAGGTCCACCCGGAGAACGAGGACTGGACGTGTTTTGAACAAACAGCCAGTTTGGACATCAAGTCCTTCTTTGGCTTTGAAAGCACRGTGGAAAAGATTGCAATGAAGCAGTATGCTAGTAGTATCAAAAAGGTGAGCGGCATAAGATGTGTTTTTAAGTTTTCTTTCCCTCTCCCATCTGTGTGCAGAAAGTTCTAATATCTTGGCTGGTGTCCCTCAGGGAAAAGAAATCATAGAGTTCTACCTGAAGGAGCTGGAAAATGAGGGCATCACCTACGTGCCCCGCTGGACTCCTTCCTCCCATCCTCTGGTTCTGCCCGGGCCCAGCAGCCTCTCCGTCAGCCCACCCGACCTCACAAAGCACGCGAGCGCGGAGGCTGCGACCGTCTCACAGAACGCCGAACCCAAAGACGACGATGCACAGGATGTAAAGCAGGAGGGCGGAGCTCTGCAGGCAGACAGTCTGACAGAAATCCTGGCTGGTACACCTGAAGGTTCGTCCCTGCTGATACTTCTAGACAACAACACTTCCTGTTTGTTTGTTTAATGGTCATACACACACCAGCAACACGAAAACAAACACCCGTTGAGCTTGTTTATAACCTTTAACTGAATATTCATGTATTAAAGGGAGCCATGATTAGTTGTAACATCAGACTTTATTTGATAAACATATATTTTAATTGTAAAATAAAGACTGTAAAAATACTATAGGCTGTTCAGTTTTTATCATTTTTAAACTAAAAGTTTAAAAATATATTACACGGACGGGGCCATTTTATTTACACACAAAGCATTCTGGGTAAATGATGACGTGGATAGGTCCTCGGTGCGAGGCTGCTAGCGAGCTATATCCACCCTGAAGGTTAATCTTGGACAATATCTGATGATCGACTCTTTTAAATGAAACCAGAGAGCGTTGACAGAGAGGAGAAGGTAGAAATGACTCAGCCTGGAACTGAAAATATGGAAGGAGGACAACAGTTTAGCTTGTTAGTTTGTCGCGCTAGCGCCAAGCTAATACTGTACACATAATGCAATATAGCGTCAGCGCTAACGCTAAAGCTAACAGGCTAAGCTGAGGTTCTTCTTCCATATTTTCAGTTCCAGGCTYAGTCATTTCTACCTTCTCCTCTCTGTCAACGCTCTCTGGTTTCATTTAAAAGAGTCGATCATCAGATATTGTCCAAGATTAACCTTCAGGGTGGATATAGCTCYCTAGCAGCCTCGCACCGAGGACCTATCCACGTCATCATTTACCCAGAATGCTTTGTGTGTAAATAAAATGGCTCTGTCCATATGAAAATATATTTTTTAAAAATTCCTTAACTAAACAGCCTACAGTATTTTTAGTTTTTATTTTACAGTTAAAATAAAGTCTAATGTTACAACTAATTGTGGATCACTTTTAAAGGATTCACCAAATAATAATAAACATGAAGATTAAATTTTATATTAGTTTTGCCTCAAATATACCCACAAAGCTACTTGTTTTAAGAGAATAAAACAAAGTTTTGTAGTTCTCCAGAACTTCTGTGTGTTTGTGCTGCAGACAAGCTGGATGCAGACTACATTAAACGTTACCTGGGTGACCTGACGCCCCTGCAGGAGAGCTGCCTGATCAGACTTCGCAGATGGCTTCAGGAGACACACAAGGGCAAAGTAATCCCAACAATGGAAGAACTCTTCTTTTTTTTTTAGTCAACTTGTGAAACATGAAACCCATTTTGATGCATTTTTCTTCTCTTAAGATCCCCAAAGACGAACACATCCTGCGTTTCTTGCGAGCCAGAGACTTCAACATGGATAAGGCGCGGGAGTTTATGTGCCAGTCTCTCACCTGGAGGAAGCAGCACCAGGTGGACTACCTGCTGGAGACCTGGAATCCCCCACAAGTTCTTCAGGACTTCTACACCGGAGGCTGGCACCACCACGACAGAGGTACTTTAGTTAAATCCTGCAAATCCAAAATCAGCAGCTGGACTCTCACGTGTGCATAAATATGAAATCTGAAAACTCGTGTAGAAGAAGTTACACACACACACACACACACACACACACACACACACACAGTGTGACGTTTTATCTGACGGGCATTCAGTCATTCTTAGAAACCCACACCTCTCAGCGAGGTGGGTCTTACTGGTTTGGACTTCTCGTTAGCGTTAACAGCTATAACAGTCATATTCTTAAGTTGTGGGCYTGCTGTGAGTCTCCAAAAGAAAAGAATGACGTGATACATATCATAAATCTATTTCTGCTTTCATGCTTTCAGAGCAGAATGCTAAATGATTTCTCAGAGCACGCTCACTCATTGTGCCAGACAAAAGAGGAGCAGATGGCAGCTGAAGCACACCTTTCCACTTAACCTGCATTTGTGTAGAATGTAAATAGCATTATAGATCATGTCAATGTTTGCTTTACTTTGTTAGATGGACGTCCTTTGTACATCCTGAGACTGGGCCAGATGGACACCAAAGGACTGGTGCGCGCGCTGGGAGAGGAGTCTCTGCTCAGACACGTACGTAACACAGATTACTCTGCAGGTTTGGTGCATTAGTGAAGGTCGATGCCTTTTATAGGTCAGACGGTTTGTGACTGGATTATAGGTTAGAGAGGAAATGTCCTGACAAGTGTTAAAARCCCAGGATGTGAGGAGTTAATGACMGGTTTAAACTCACTGTCGCTGTAGGTGCTGTCCATCAACGAGGAGGGTCTGAGGCGCTGTGAGGAGAACACCAAGGTGTTTGGGAGACCCATCAGGTAAAACTATTAACCATTCAGAAAGCATGAAACGTACAAATACTTAGTCGCACAGATTGAGCTGAACATTTTGATATGTGTAACGATTGTACAGCAGAAGCTTTATTTGGACTCCATTCAGTTTGGGTTCACCTGAGCAGCACAGTTGCACACTCAGATAAAACACAGCACGAGTCAGTCCAGAGAATTACTCCCCTCCAGCATGGAAATGATGCAGTTTGAGCACACAGCATGTGAAGCAGAGGAGCTGAGATGGTGTCTGTTGTGTGTCAGGCCTCTCCAGCAGGAGGCGGAGCCTYTGATAAGGCCTGCACTGGAAGGCATGTGAACTATGTGTGGATTCAGAATTACCCAGCATTACCTTCATCACTTAAGCCTCACTGCAGGGTGACAGGTGCTAAGTGATGAGAGAGAATCTGTAGCCCACTTCATTGTGTGTGTGTTCGTGTGTGTGTGTGTGTGTTCGTGTTCGTGGCGGGACGTTATCCCCTCTGATCCTCTCACTTCCTCCTCTGAAGCTGCTGGACATGTCTGGTGGACCTGGAGGGGCTGAACATGCGTCACTTGTGGCGACCGGGGGTCAAAGCTCTGCTGAGGATCATCGAGGTGGTGGAGGCGAACTACCCCGAGACTCTGGGACGGCTGCTGATCTTGAGAGCACCGAGAGTCTTCCCGGTCCTGTGGACACTGGTGAGAACACGAGGGGACACTCAGTCACCTGATCAGTGCAGCGTCCTCCTAAAAGACAAGTTTACCTGTTTCAGCTGCACAAACCAAACTTTAGWGTCAAAACCTTCTGGGTCATGCTTTAAAAATAATGAGGCAATGAACCTGTCACCCTTTTTATTTACAAAACACTATGAATGCTGAAATTTGTTAGTAAAGCTGAAACTTAAGTTAAAGCAAAAGTGAGCAAAACACTTGCTAAAACCTTAAAGAAACAATCTACTAGAAGTTAAATATAGCTAAAAATAAGACTAGATTAAAACTGAAAAATGCAAAACAAAAACTGAAAGTAGTTTAAAACTATCTGAAGTATCAAAAGTCATGCTTCAAGCTAAAAGTAGCTGAAGCCTTGCTAAGAGTAACTAAATGCTAGCTAGAAGCTAATAGCATAAGAAGACAAAAACACAAGCAAGTAGCTGAAGCAAATAAAAAGAAACTGATTTAATGTATTAAAGCAGGGCTATTCAACTAAACTGCTCCGAGGGCCACAGTTACTGCAGGTCAACAGCTGAGGGGCCGAACATCCAGCAATTAAAGTTATTATGTAAATAAACCAAGTATTACAAAGATCTGTTACCTTTGAATTAGTTTATTTTACTGTATTTAATCATGAATACAACATACAGAACCCTATAAAAGTAGTGATAATTACACATTATCAAAAACAAAAAGAACACATTATGACTCCTATTTGACACAAATATTATTTTGACATCTCTGACTTGACAATTTTTAAACCAATTTTATTTTCACTTTCTTCATTTTATCTTCAACTGCTTGTAGTTTTAACTGTCTTGAGTGTTTATAGAAATGGTTTTTACCAGCTTGTAGCCAAGATCCTGATGTTTCTGTAGATATCAAACATGTCTATGTTTAGCTAAAAGAAATAGTAATTAAAGTAGAAAACCGGGGGTTTGTGCTGAAGAGATGAATGAACCAATTGGTGGGCCAAACTTTGGTCATTCACGGGCCGCCAGTTGAATAGCCCTGTATTAAAGTCACAAACTAAAAGTCGTAGCAAACATGCTCTGAATGAGCTGAACGTTAGAAGTGATTTGAAGGCAAAAAATAAAACTTTATAAAACAGTGGTTTCTGTTCTCTGGAGTATTTCTTGCATTCAGTTTTTTTACACTCCCCTCTGCTTGTAGGTCAGCCCCTTCATCGATGAAAACACCCGCAAGAAGTTCTTGATCTACGCAGGTAACGACTACCAGGGTCCTGGAGGTCTCGTGGACTACATCAACAAGGAGATCATCCCTGACTTTCTAGGAGGAGAGTGTATGGTGAGTGTTAGAGTAAAAATGAAACTCTGTGCTCTCATGGAGACCGCCCTCCATGACCTGGCTCATGTTTTTCCTCTGCAGTGTGAGGTACCAGAGGGCGGTCTGGTTCCCAAGTCCATGTATCGAACAGCAGAGGAGCTGGAGAATGAGGACGTCCGACTGTGGACCGAGACGATCTACCAGAGTGCCAGCATCTTTAAGGGGGCTCCACACGAGGTGGGGCTCTGGGGGTTTATATGTAGGACAGGACAGAAGGGACCTGCAGGGGGATTTGATGCAGGTTCTGTTGGTAGRGCTGCCATCTAGTGGAAAACATTTGTGTCATGTCTGATTTTAGATCTTGAAATCCAACCTTCCTGCTGTGACATGTTCCTTCGTGTTGCACATTTTCACTTTACTCCTCAGATTAGTTTTCTGTGTAACTTTGAGTTCCTGATAGTAAAGTTTTACAGTAAGGGTTAGAAAAATGTTAAACCTGTTCAGATGTTCGTTTCCTGATCTTTGTTTTCTCCAAGCAGCTCGTGATCGAAATAATCGACGCCGCCTCGGTCATCACCTGGGACTTCGACGTTTGCAAAGGTGACATCGTCTTCAACATCTACCACTCGAAGCGGGCCCCCCAGCCGCCACGTAAAGACCCCCTCGGAACCCACGCCATCACCTCCCCGGGAGTCAACAACGTCCAGCTTATCGAAAAGTCCTGGACTCTGGGTCAGGATTACAGCATGGTGGAGTCCCCCCTCACCTGCAAGGAGGGTGAGAGTGTGCAGGTGAGGACTGCTCATCAGGGGCTGCTTTTGGGGGCGGGGGGGTMGTTGTTGTTGTTATTAGTGTAAAACGCTGGTGCAACAGGTGGCAGGTGAGCTGCATTGAAACACAGCTTTAATCCCTGTCTGTAACCATCTTCCCGGTCCTCAGGGCTCTCATATAACCCGGTGGCCCGGCTTCTACATCCTGCAGTGGAGGTTCCACAACATGCCGGCCTGCTCGGCCACCAACCTGCCCCGAGTGGACGACGTGCTGGCCACACTGCAGGTCTCCTCACACAAATGTAAAGTCATGTTCTACACTGAGGTGCTGGGCTCGGAGGACTTCAGGTTGGTAGCTAAAACTAAATCAACTCTGTGTCCGTGGTTTTACTGCTGTTCTTTTCATTCACCACAGTTTCATAGTTTTAGTTCCAAACATTATTTGATTGCAGCTCCTTTTGATTTACTCCTGTCTTCTGTCAGTTTGTCCCTCTGTGCTGCCATTTAGTTCCTCTAAATATTATAAAATGCTTCAAAGAGCATCAGAACTTTGTTTTAAAATGACTTCCCCCCCTAAAGTCTCCTTTAATCCATCTTTTTCTTTCCAACCTGTCGCTCCCTCCACCTCTTCCTCCTATGAAGAACGGCTTGCTGTGATGTGCAGAGTTTGTAAGTGGCTCAGTGTTTGCGTTTTTGTTTTTTTGTTCTTTTAGCACAAGCTCATTGCCATCACTGCTTTTAGCTTTTAAAGCGAGTGCCCAGTCACGCTTCTAACGCCGTACAAAGATCCTTGTTTGCATCTGTTTATTGTTTTTAGRGGTGACTAACAGGATCTTGCTTTAATGAAGGCTTTATCGCACTGAAGTTCACAATAACTTGCTCTAATCCACTCGCTGCCTTTTTTAAGTTAGTCTGTTTGCATGGTTAACTGAGGTTTAATTCAAAATAAAGCCTTTCAGATGATTTTCTATCCAGGTTCACAAAACCTTTTATTTCACCACGCTTCACATTTATTTAACAAGATGTGTTATCACAGTACCTCAAAAGTTTTCACATTTTTCCACTTTTTGTCACGTTGCAAACACAATCAACTGTTTTACTAAAACCAAAAGAAATGCAAGGAAAATGTTTGGTTTTCAACTCTTTTTTTGTTTTGTTTTAATAAAAATCCTTTTTAAAACCCTAAATACCTTCAGAAGTCACCTGATTGGTGGAATCCACTGGTGTGTAATTTAATCCATGGGTACTGTTCTGAGCTAAACAAGAATAAATTTAGTTTTTAGATGTACAAAGCAGGTAAAAACAGACCCCAAGACTCAAATCACAGCAAGATTTTTWAATTTTTTTTAAACCCATGAATTCTTTCCGTTCTGATGATCTGTCGTATAAAATTAAAGTAAAATATTCTGACAGTCGTGGTTGTAACGTGAAAAAACAGGGAGAAGTTAAGAGGCAGTGAAAACTTTTACAAAGTGCTGTAAYTCGTCAGAGAAATAAACAATCTAATTCATGATCTTTAATTAAAAGAGAATTTAGGTTTTTATTTGTGACATGTTAATTTTTTTCTGCTTTACTGAAATTTCTGGTTGTGTTTTAGTGGTTTGATGGTTTCAGGGTTTGGGTTCTGCTGCTGTAATTATTCAACCAAAGACTGTTCGAAAAGATGGATGTAGCCCCGGTGAGGAGTTAAAGCTGCATTCTTTTTATTGGCCAGCAGGGGGAGTCCCACCTGACAAAGTCTAGAGAAGTCCTTTTATCTGTTACTTAAATAAATATGTATTTTATAAGCTCTTTCAGTACAGAGGTGTACTGATTTATGAGCTTGTTTCTGAATATCTGCACCTGTCAAAACCTTAACATTTGTCCACAAGCTTCAGCTGCACCCATCTTTAACAGTTTTTGGTTTCATTAAAAATGTGAGTGCATTATGAAGTGTCTCATCCGATGTCTTTAACCAGCCCCTGAAGGTTTTCATGTTCTCATACGATGAGATGATGTCACAGACACCGAGGGTTCAAGACGCTGCTAAAACCGATGCTTTGAGTCTGTTTTTATTTCAAACAAATCCTGCCTGAACCACAGTGGCAGGATAAAATGACAGAGAAGCTCGTGTTTGACAATAATAAATCCTTTATTATTAAAGTTCAACAGAACGTTCTGCTCTTCAGCTGGAGGCGGTTTTAGATTCGGCTGCTGGTGGGCGGCTCAGTTAGACGTGCACTCCGAATCGGTTTTATGATCTACATGCAAAAACACAAGCAGCCACGTCGCTCAGCGAGCTTTCTATAAAACATCAATACACTCATTTATTTTGTTTTGACTTGATGTGGATTAAAGGSGTCCAGATCACCTGTAAAGGTGGTCTGAGTGAAAGTGGTTTCAGTGTGAACTGAAGGCGTTCACACGGGTTTACTAAGAACTGTTTTTTGAGCCGCAGGGTGAACGTGGCTGCATGGTTCTGCATCCTGAGCATGACTGAACACACACACACACACACACACACACACACACACACACACACACACACACACACACACACACACAGTGCTTTCATGCAGGTTTCAGCAGGCTGGGCTCGCTCACGTGTTGTTCACATGATGTTCCCTGCAGCGCCTCATGTTAACCCTCGCCTGTCTCTTCCCTCTCAGGGGCTCGATGACCAGCCTGGAGTCGAGCCACAGCGGCTTCTCTCAGCTCAGCGCAGCCACCACCTCCTCCAACCACTCCCAGTCCAGCTCCATGATCTCCAGGTAGAACCTGGGAACGGACCACCTCAGTCCCAGAATRCATCACTCCACCGTCATCGACCAGCCCCACCCCCCTGTGTCGTCTGTGGAATTTACTGCACAAACTGAAGAGGAAGAGTTTTGAAACTGAGGCAAAAAAAAAAAAAAAAAAAAAAAAAAAAAAACTTGACACTGTTTAAGATTTAAAGGGCTGATTTTTGCACAAAGGTTGTTTGCTGAATGTTTTTTTTCTTGTGAGGGTGGAAGTGTTTGAAGTGGAGCAGGCAGAAGCTCGTAGCAATATTTTCATCCTTGAAGCTACAGGAGTGGCTGAAGACACTGGAGGCTCTGTTACTTTTCTGCATTTACTGAAAACAGCTGCTGACGCAGCCGACGCGCTCCTCARGCACCTGTGTCGCTCCGTCAGGACTGAACGTCTGTTACACACACGAGCCGTGCACAAAGGAAACGTTTTGCCATATTGTTGCTGTTAGGGTTCCAGAGAGCTGTTTATAGGTCAAAATGTTGGTGAGCAGAAAACCAACTGGATCTGGGTCCAAGCAGCGCCTGTGGATGGTTGGAGCTTCACCACAACCATAGTGTCAGTATTTCTGGTTTCAGAGTCAAACTAACACTTTGTGTGTGTGTGTGTGTGTGTGTGTGTGTGTGTGTGTGTGTGTGTGTGTGTGGGACTCACAAGGGCTTCATCGCACCGAGAAAACCAGTCGAACACGAGACCCAGATCTGATTAGAGTCGATCTGCTAGCTGCAATAACAAGATGGGCTTTCTGCTGTGTGGATGATTTCTACTTATTGTAAACTTATTGTGGAGGATCATGAGTAAGTTTAGTTTTGTACAGACCGATGGATGTAAAAGGAGAAAAAAAAAGTGCCACAGATATCACTTCTTGTCAAAACTCATTTTATCAAGACAAAAGCAAAAATAGCTTCCTGTCAGATGAATCTGCACGATAAACCCGTCTGTCTGCACAGTTAAGGAACTCAAACGAAGGCGCCGCCTCGTCACTGATCGGCCAACGAGACACCTGAATCTGAAGGGTTGTCGGGACGACCCTGACGCCGTACTGTACGCGTGCCGGTCCGTGCTTCTGGAGGCGAGCAGTTGAACCCGTGGCGTGTCGACGCATGTGCACATGGGCTTCGTTACGTAAGAGTTGGGCTGCAGCCGTGTGAAGAGCCATGTGTCCATAAATACCATGTTAGCCTTTCGTTAGCATCACGTAGAGAAACGCTGTAACAAAACTAATGAACATTTCAAAATGCAGCGACTTTTTAAAATAGTTTAGTGTTGATGACTTATCTGTAGAGAGCAGGAAGGATGTTACCGTGCAGCTGGTGGGGATGTATCATAAAAGCTTACAGGGGAGTCGAGCTGAAACTAAACGGTTGTTACTTAAAACTGCTCATTTTTTAAATGATCAACGTTTATTTAATGTCATGAACTGCAAAAACTGTCCGTCTTATCAAGTTTTAAAGTCTTATATCAGCCAAAAAGTCTTTTTGATCTTGTTTTGAGACTGATTTACTAAACAAGAACTGGTTGTGTAAGAATAATCATCTTGTTTTCAGAATGTGTAAGATTATTTGTCTTGTTAGTCTGAAAATTTGACTCTAATTAAGTCAATATTTCTGCCAGTGGAGTAAGAAAATTTTACTTGGTAAGATTCCTGAAATAAGAAAAATTTGAGTCAAATCAAGTATTTCAAGAATCTTACCAAGTAAAATGTTCTTACTCCACTGGCAGAAAGTTGTGACTTAATTAGAGTCAAATTTTCAGACTAACAAGACAAATAATCTTACACATTCTGAAAACAAGATTATAATTCTTACACAATCAGTTCTTGTTTAATAAATCAGTCTCCAAACAAGATCAGACTTTTTTGGCTGATATAAGAGTTTAAAACTTGGTTAGATGGACAGTTTTTGCAGTGAACTGCAATAACAGGAAGAAAACGATGTGAGTGTTGGCTGTAGAAGGGTTATAAATTTTATAGGACATGTAAACTGTTTCACTTCTTATTTCTTAAAACACTTAAAGGACCTTTACTTTTCCACCTGATTATTAGAAAATTCCTGCAGCAGTCTGACAAACTACTAATTTATCAGTTTTCCTTCTGATCTGAACTTCTCTTCTGAAACGGCACTTTTTGATTTAAGCCACAGACGTGAAGAAGTGTTTGTTTTCTCTGACTGATGACAGGAAATCTGCTTTGCCGTTTTCCCTCCGCTCAGACCTGCAGAGTTTCTGCTTTTCATCACCATCCTGTCCACTAATGAGGGCTGTAAGCGTTTGTCTCGAGTGTTTTCTTGGCTTCTTTTTTTTTCCGCCATCTTTGCATATCTTCTTTAAGTGTTGATGTGAGAAATTCTGTATAAAAAAGTAAAAAGTTTAGATGAGTGAAAACATGGCGCCTTTACACTTTTTAAGTCAATAAACTTGAATTATGAGTAAATTAAAAAAAGGCTTTGCTTGTCTTATTTTTAACCAGCTGAACATCACAAAAGTTACAACAGTAGCCAAAACTGAAATTGTATAAAAAGAAATTATCACCAGGAAAACTGCAGCTAAAAGTTAAAACTAGTGAAAKTTTGGTTAACAGTGAAGATCAGGAAAGAAGCATTTAAAGCTTTTAACCAGCAAAACAGTAGCTGAACTCAAAAGGTTCAGAGTAGGAGCTAAACTCTATAATTAAAACAGTGGCTAATACCAGGAGAAATAGCAGCTAAAACTAGTAAATAGCATCTAAAGGTTATCACTAAAACAGCTGAAATTCAAAATGTTCAGAGCAGCAGCTAAAAGCTTAAAATGAGGCAGTTTTTTTAAATATTTGAAGAGATCTGAATGTTTTCTTTTGACACACTTAAAAAATAAACAGGGAGACGAGTTAGTTTTATAAAATACTCATGTAACAAAGTATGAAATAGTTTTTTTTAAACAAGCTAGAAAACATTTTAACTGTGACAAATGTTTATTTTTTAACCCATCAAGAATCTCGATTAATTTAAAAAAGTATTATCACCAGAAATCAGAACAATAGTAAAAAATAAAATAACACCATAAAGTTTATTTTATTACCGCAAAACGAGCTTCTTTTCAATTTCTTTAAAATGGCTGTAACTCCTTACTGTCACCACTAGAGGGAAGTGTTTACTAATGAAAGCGGTGGATCCGCCTCTCGTGTGACGTCACGATGTTTACGGAAGTGAACGTTTCACAATTTACGAGTCGAGCTACTTCTTTTGAACTCATAAAGCAAGTTTGCTGCTGATTGTGGCCTCCTCATCAGAATGTCAGCTCCTCCGACAGAAGAGCTGGTCACACTGTGGGAAAGGTCAGAGTTTATTTCTGTCTCAAACCTTGTTTTATTATTATTTATTTATTGTCCTCTCCGCAGCTTCAGTGACAAATAAAAACCCTTCAGGTATTTCATGAACTGTCCCTGTGGTGCTCCCGTCTGTTAAAATCACCTTAACCAGTGGAATTTAAACGAATCTTACAGAAAACAATATTAGATGTACATTAACCTTTGGAATCAGTTCAGTCAAGATGGCCGCCACAGTCACCTGACCTTAGAGAACACCTGTGGCTCTTAATCAGTTAATTTTACACACAATGAGCTAAACTTTGGTGTGGTAGTAGCTAAGAGTCATCCCCAGCACATATTGTGAGCACTCCCTGTTATATTTTTAACATTAGCTATGTGGTGTGAATTGTGTTAGTAAAATATCTCATGAACCACTGGACAGATTTCAGTGAAAATGTCAGGATGCTCATCTACAACTGGGCAACATTAGGAGCTAATAACTGTTTCAGATAAGACCTGAAGGAGAKGATCTTAATGTAAAGTTTAACAGAGTGCTCTGGTGTCCTGCTTCAGCGAGCAGGAGCGTCTCAGGTGGCAGGTGGTGGACGACGACACAGAGGACTGGCAGAGGAGTCCGGACTTCTCAGGCCTGGAGCGGGTCGGCGGCGTGGACCTCTCCTTCATCAAAGGCGACGACGTCAACGCTTGTGCTCAGCTGGTGGTGCTCAGTTACCCTGACCTGGAGGTGAGCTGACCCCTGTGTTCCACCTGCTCCACCTGTTCACCCTAACCTGTGGTGATCAGGGGTCTCATTTATAAAGGATTGCGTGGAAACCATACTAAAAGTGAACGTACGGCCAAAAAAAATTCAGATTTATAAAACGGTGCGTACGCACGTTTCTGCGCATCTTTCCTTTATAAATCACAGCCGCACGTCAGAGTTTGTGCACGAGGTCCCGCCTCAGGTTCTACCCTCTACACGCCCACACTCAACCATAAACAGTCAATGCAAAGTACCTCATGAATGTTAAGTTGTATTTAAATCAGTCAGATGATCAGTGATTGGTTCAGACACGTTCCGTTGTGCGTCTGGAGGTTGACAGATGCTGACTGACAGCTGCTCACGTGAACAGAATGTCTGTAATTGACACAGATTTTCCCTCATTTTGCTTTAGAGTAATCTAACGATTTTTATAAAAAAAATACTCGGCTTCAAATTAATTTTCTCTCAGAGCCTGCAGGACGCTAAAACAATAAAAATTAAATTAAATAAGTAAGATGAAATTAGAAAAAAGTCCACTACTCTTCTCCTCGTCCTCTCCCCCTCCTGCCTGCTCTGTTATCCACGGCAGACACCCCCGCCCCACACATGCACACACACACACACGCACGCACGCACGCACGCAAGCAAGCACGCACGCACGCACGCACGCAAGCAAGCACGCACG